GTGGGCGGGCCAGGCGAACTCATCTCGATCCAACGGCGGCTACTGAAGCGGGGGGAGAGCGGAAGTTGGAGATGGAGGGCGATGCAGTGCAATGACCCCCTTGTCAGCGGATCTGGAGGGGGACTAGGAGGTGGAGGGTCAGGCGTTGCCCGAAAGTTGCCCGCACGTGCCCGAAAGTTACCCGAAAGTTACCCGCAGAATGCCCGCCTCGAGTGTCTGGGCGGCGCGCGCGGGTGCGCGCGGGTAACTTTCGGGTAACTTTCGAGCACGTGCGGGTAATTGTCGGAGAAGTGCCGATCATGCGAGGGCAACTTTCGGGTAACTTTCGGGCAAGTGCGGGTAACTTTCGGGCAAGTGCGGGACGTGCGCGGGCAAGTTCGGGTAATTGTCGGGTAATTTTCGGGTGACTTTCGGGCGAGGGTAACTTTCACGGCAAGTGCAGATCATGTGCGGGCAAGTGCGGGGCAGGCAGGCAGGCGCCTCGAGCTCGGAGCCCAGGAGCTTCGCGAAGTCGACCTCGTCCTCCACCATCTTCTTGGCCTGGCGCAGAAAAGGGGGAAGGTGTCTCCTCCTCTCCCTCCACCCCCACCTCCCCTATCCTCGTCCTCGTCATTCGAACTGTATCTTATCGCAGCACCCCTTCCTATTCGCAAATTCGTCAACCGTTCCCCAATGCTTGCTAATATACGTCCGTCATCAGTATTCTTATCCTCGTCTCCTCGTCCTATACCGTAATTTCGGGTCTCCTGCTAACTCCCCTTACCCTCATGTTCGACCCTCCTCTCCCTATCCCTTCCCACATCCCCCCTGTCCTCCTCCCCCCTCCTCCTCCTCCCCCATCCTCCTCCTCCCTCATTTTAGCCATATCTCTCTCTCTCTCTCTCTCTCGTTATCTCTCTCTCTCTCTCTCTCTCTCTCTCTCTCTCTCTCTCTCTCTCTCTCTCTCTTCATTTCTCTCTCTCTCTCTCTCTCTCTCTCTCTCTCTCTCTCTCTCTATATATATATATCCCTCCTCCTCCTCCTCCTCCTCCTCCTCCTCGTCCTCGTCTCGTCCTCGTCCTCTCGTCCTCCTCCTCGTCCTCGTCCTCGTCCTCGCCCTCGCCCTCGTCCTCGTCCTCGTCCTCGTATTCGTCCTCGTCGTCCTCCTTCTCCCCTCCTCCCCCCTCCTCCTCCTGTTCCTCCTCCCTTTCCTCTCCTCCTCCTCCTCCTCCTCCTCCTCCTCCTCCTCCTCCTCCTCCTCTCCTCCCCCCCCCCCCCCCCCTCCCTGGCGCCTGCGTCGCCGCTCCTGTCCCCGCCGCCGCGTCGGCGCCGTGGCCGTGGGCAGCGACAGCAGGCACCGTCTCGGCCTCCGAGATCGGCGGGCCGTCGCGCACCTCGGGCGCCTGGGCTGGGAACGGCCCGAAGGGCCCGCGCGGAAACTCGAGGTCGATCGGCCCGTCTGAATCTTACGACCGAGGGCGATGCAAAGATCTTGCTACTTCCCTTATGAGGGAAAGAGGCAAGATCTCTGGATCTCCCGTCCTCGCCCGCCGCGAACACGCTCTCCCAATCCGAACCCGCTGGAAACGTCGATTGCGTAGGCTTCGGCAGTCTCGATTGGCTCCTCGAGCCGCGTTCGAGGAGCCAATCGAGATTGCCGAAGCCTACGCAATCGAACTCGTCAATTTCCGTCTCCACGTCGGAATAGTTTTGGAGGAATATTCGCAGAACGCTACCGAATTTCGATCGATGGCGGATCGTTCGATGGGTAAGCCGACGTGCCCCGATATCCCTTGGATCCGTTTCCCCCCTCATCCTCCGTTTAGTCATCCTCGTTATCCTCACCTTCGCCCTCGTCGTTGTCGTCGCCAAATCGCCATCCTCCCTCTCCCCTCCCCCTCCTCCTGCTGCCCCTCCTCCTCCTCCTCCTCCTCCTCCTCCTCCTTCTCCTCCTCCTCCTCCTCCTCCTCCTCCTCCTCCTCATCCTCCTCCTCATCCTCATCGTGCCCGTCCGTTCCTATCCACCGTTGAACCCGTTCGAACCTCTGGCGAACCCATGTGCCCGTCGCGCTGCGCGTCGGACGGCGGCATGGAGTCGGGCAAGGCCATGACCTCGTCAGCTTGAGCAGCACCCCCGCGCTCGTCAGCTTGAGCAGCACCCCCAGCGCGCTGGTCAGCTTGAGCAGCACCCCCAGCACGCTCGTCAGCTTGAGCAGCACCCCCATGCTTGTCGTCAGCTTGAGCAGCACCCCCATGAAGTTCGTCAGCTTGAGCAGCACCCCCATGCTGGTCGTCAGCGTCTTGAGCAGCACCCACATGCTGGTCGTCAGCGTCAGCTTGAGCAGCACCCCCATGCTCAGCGTCAGCTTGAGCAGCACCCCCCCGCAGCTGGCTGAGCGGGGCGTCGTCACTGCTGTCGCCCACGTGGATCGGCGTCGGAGCCATCTGGGGAATGGTGCAACACAATGTTCATATCAACGCATCCGTCTCTTAATCTTCCTCATCCTCCTCCTCTTCCTCCACTCCTCCTCCCTCTCCCCCCTCCTCCGCCTCCTCCTCCTCCTCCTTTTCCTCCGTCGTATGTGTCGTCTTTGTCGTCTTCGTCCTTGTCGTCGTCGTCGTCGTATTCGGCGTCGTCGTCGTCGTCGTCGTCGTCGTCCTCTTCGTCGTCGTCGTCGTGGTCGTTTTCGCCGTCGTCAGCCTGCTCTTCGGTGCGCGGGATCTTGCGCGACTGCAGCTGCTCGGTGGCCGCCGCGCCCTCCTGGGAGGGGGGCGGCTGGGGGGAGTCCCTCCCCCCTCCGACGGAGGGTCCCGAGGGGTGGTCGATCGAGAGAATTGAGTTGGATTAAAAATAAAGAATTACATACTCGATCCTGCATCATGCCCCCAGCGCGCTTCAGCATGGCCGCGCGCAGCGCCATCTCACCCGTGCTTGGGCGAGCCACGCGTCTCTCAAAGGCTTCAGCCCAGCAAGCTTGCGGCGAGCGCGGGCAGAGGAAGGCACAGGAAGAAGAATACTAAGAAGAAGAGAGAGGGAGGGCGGGCCTTCACCTCCACGCCACGGGCCACGGACAACGGGGGCACGCGGCTGAAATGGTGATGATCCTATCGCTCTGCCATGCACAGGGATACTCCTCCTTCTCCCCCCTCCTCCTCCTCCTCCTCCTCCTCCTCCTCCTCCTCCTCCTCGATCCTCCTCCTCTTCCTCCTCCTCCTCCTCCTCCTCCTCCTCCTCCTGCCACGCGTCCGCATGAATATTTTCAGTTTCAGTTTGTGATTTGAAATTTTTTCCGGGTGTTCTCCTGTGTTTTGAAAAAAAAACAGCCCGACTGAAACGATTCAGTTTTTCAGAAAACAAAGACCTCTGGGATGGGCGCGACGCCCACGCCTGGGGCTGCGCCATGCCTCTCGGCTGGCGCCCGACCCGAACGCGAGAGGCTCCCTCGCTGAGCAACGCCGTCAGCTCCGGGCCCGCCGGCAGGACGGCGAACCGGTAGAGCCTCGCGCCGGCAAGCCCGCTCGGCACTCCGCCCGGGGTCGGCGAGAACCCGACGCCAGAGTGGTCGAATTTAGCCGAGTCGAGCTGTTCGATGCAGACGTCCCCGTCGGGGGTGAGTACTACGTACTCGGCGCCCTCGACCCACCCCATGATGAGGCGCTCGTGCCAGAGGTCCTCATCGTACCCGACGGAGGCGCAGGACCCTGGCGGGAGCAAGGCCATGGCGCTGCCCGCGCGGGCGCGGGCCTCAGCCCACCGTCAGCACCCCTGCCCCGCGCACGTCGCGCGCGCGGGGGCCTGGCTGCAATGGCGGGCCGCCTGGTGGCGGCAAGCTGGCGGGCTCGTCCACGAGCGGCAGCGGCGGGCTCGGCGCCACGTCCCGCGCAACTGGGCCCCATCGACGTGCGCGGCCAGCAGCTCCGGGCGCAGAGCCCAAGGAGCGCGGTGGCGGCCGCCCCGGCCGCGAAGCCGCCCAGGCCCACGGGCCAGAGCGGCGGGCAACTGGACACCGCGGGGCACACCGGGCAGAGGTGTGCCGGACCACACCGGTCGAACTGCTTCTCGAGCAGCTTCAAGGGCGCGCTGTCCGAGGTGAAGTGGCAGCCGCACTCGCACTGACACGGCCGCGTCATGCCTCCCAGCCAACTGCCCAGTGCGCTGGCGGATGCAAGCTGGGCGAGGCTGGCCATCACAACCGTCTTCAAATTTTAGGGCTCGGGCCCCAAAAAACAATGGAACGGAGACACTCGAGTACACATTCACCAGCACGCAGGGCCATGATGTGTGCATACACATACACCTACATCTACACATACACACATACGCATATGCACACGCAGACGCAGACGCATACACATACGCATACGCACACGCATACACATACATTCACGCATACATACACATGTACATACGCATGTGCATGACCAAATACATGTACATATACATATGTATATATAGTATAGATTCATCTCTCTCTCTATATATATGTGAATTCACGCATGCATATACGCGTACATATCAATCGGCACATGCATACACACATGCACATAAACATACACACAACACCATACACGCATCTGCAAACATACGTGCATGCATACGTACGTACACACATTCATATGCACATGCATCCACGCATATACATGCATCCATACATACATACAGACATACGTACATACATATATACACGCATACATACATGCATACACCTATGCATACATACATACACACATAAATACATACACACATTCATACATACATACATACATACATACATGCATACACACATACATACATACATACATACATACATACATACATACATACATGCATGCATACATACATACAAACAAACAAACATACATACATACATACGTACACACCTGCATATATGCACACATACATACATGCATGCATACATGCATACACACATATGTGCATATGCGGACATACGTGTGTGCATACGTGTATGTATGTTATATATATGCGCGTATATAAATATATTTCTTTATCGATCGCTGACCTCGTCCTCCAACTCGTCCGCATCGGGCTCGTCCGACTGCGACTCCGCGGTGCTGAAGCGGATGCTCTGCGTCCGGCGGTCGGCCAGCAGCTGGCCCGGCAAGGGTACTGGGAGCCGCTGCCTGGTTTCTTAGGAGGACAACGAGGAGGACCAGGAGGCATAATCCTGCATTCCGACAGTACGGCTTCCGCCCAATCATAGACACTCAAACGGCATAAGCATAAACTGTCGGAACTCTGCGTGGACGTCTTGGATCGGCGTTGGGCCACTTGGCGGCATCCGCAGCGGAAATCCGCGCGGAGCTCCAACAATGTATGTTCATGCAAGACTGCATGCTTCGAAGAATGTGGGCAACATCAAAGAGTCTGTGCTCACGAGTACCGGGAGCCTCCTCTTTCTCCATTCATCACTTTGCTGTCATGTTCAACCCTCGACCTTCCCCTGCCCCCATACGCTTATCCAACACGTGTTCAATTAACCCGTGCCGTAACCCGATACCTTCACCCTCAACTCACATTGAATTTACCGTTGCAATGAACATTCGCCCATTTGTCTCCTCACCGCCTACCACAATACCCGTACCCATATCATGACCCAAACCCTCACCCTTACCATCGCGCTCACCTCTGCTCCCCAAATCAGGCCGTGACCTGCGCTGGGGCGCCCAGCTCTGAACTTTCGCGTCTCCGCGATGACGCCGCGTCGGAACGCAAGCCGGACGACGTGCCTGGCCAGACCCATTGGGAGGAGGAGGAGGCGGGTGAGGAGGACGAGGACGTGGGGGGAGGAAAATGATGAGCATGACCAGAGCTCCAACCCCGTGTGATACATGACTGTGTGAGTGTCGTGCACGAGCCCCCCCGAAATGTGCACCCGCTGCCCAGAAGGAGGCCTCAGGAGGATACCGTCCAAGCGAATTGAAACAGGAAATGTTAAGCCAATAATTTTTAGCCGCCATGGAGGCGAAGCCCTGGCACCAAGTAGAGCGAGATAATGCTGAGTAGCAAACGTGGCCCAAACACTGGCAGCTGGGGGCCGAACGATAACATGTTCAAATTTGCGACGGCGGAATCTAGATCCCTAGAACAGCCTCTTCAGCTCGAATGGCCTCGAGGTAGAAGGATGCGCATGCGAACTGCGAAATCTGTATTTTCGTTTTGCTGTATGCGTGCACGCACATTCTCGGGGTGACGAGCCAAGCTCCCTCTCTCCGACGCGACATCATCAGCTATAACACCACTGTGAAGTAAGAGCCTGGACTCTTTGCGTTGGATAACTCATGAAGCATTTAACACCGCCTGCTAGCTTGACGCCACATTACAGAAATAAGTTCCAGGGGGGCAATATTAACGTGTCAGACAGCAATCAAACAAACCGCCCACCCCAGACTCGTTTTCAAAATTTCGTTCTCGCGTTCGCGCCGCACAGGATCGCTATGACACTTTGCGCGAATTGTACGGATTGAAGGCGGCTCGGTTTCAAAACGCAATTTTCGCCTTAGTGCCTCGCGCGTTCGCATTCTTGAACACAACTGTACGGGCTTCAAGGATTGAGGGCGGATCGGTTTCAACATCTAGCTCTCGCCTCAGCGCCGCGCGCATTCGTTTTGCAAGAGTGCACGGATTTCTCTGATTGAAGGCGGCTCGGTTTCAAAATCTAGCTCTCGCCTCAGCGCTGCACACTTTTCTTAATGTGCAAGAACCGCACGGGTTGAGGGCGGCTCGCTTTCAAAATCTAGCCATCGCCTCAGCGCCGAGCGCATTATATACACACACATACATACATACATATATACACACATATACATGTGTATATACGTGGGCACGAGCTCCACGGACTGAAGGCGGCTCGTTTTCAACATCTAGCTCTCGCCTTAGCGCCGCGCGCATTCGCTCGAAAAGTGGGCACGAGTTGTACGGATTCAGGGCTGCTCGGTTTCAGAATTTCGCTCTAGCCTTCGCGCCGCGCCAAAAAAACACGTGCTTCACGGATTCAGGGCGGCTCGGTCCCAAAATCTAGCCGTCGCCCTAGCGCCGCGCACATTGGTCTTCTTAAAATGTGAACGGGTCTCACGGATTGAAGGCGGCCTGGTGTCGAAATCTAGCTCTCGCCTCAGCGCCGCGCGCATGTGCTATTCAAATGTGCACGAGCTTCACGGATCGAAGGCGGCTCGGTTTCAAAATCTAGCTCTGGCCCTGGCGCCGCGCGCGCTGGTTTTAAAACGCGCGCGAGCTTCGCGGATTGAGGACGGCTCGGATTCAAAACCTAGCTTTCGCCATAGCGCCGCGCACAATTTTTATTTTACCAGCAGCGTGCACGAGCTTCGCGGATTGAGGGCGGCTCGCTTTCAAAATCTGACTCACCCCTTAGCGCCGCGCGCGAAAATGTGCGCGGGTTTAACGGATTGATAGCGGCTCGTCTTCAACACCTAATTCTCGCCTTAGCGCCGCGCACACTCGCTATGAAAATGTGCGCGAGTTGCGCGGATTGAGGGCGGCTCGATCTCAAAATCTAACTGACGCCATGGCGCTGCGCACATTCGCTATGAACATTTGCACGCGTTGCGCGGGCTGAGGGCGGCGGGATCTCAAAATCTAGCTCTTGTCCCGGTGCCGCGCGCACTGCATTTGTCCACTTGCGCCGTACTGAAATCACTTTGCTGCCAGGTACCCCATGAAATTGGTGCGCAGACTAGCTGGCAGCCTGCGCCCCTTGTCACTCCAAGCGGCCAGTCACCCTGCATCTGCGAAGCGTGCAAGCGTACCTGGGAATCGTCCCTGGCATGGCCTGGCGTTTGGTAGCACAACCTACTCGCGCGGCACGTCCGTGGCGTCTGCCTCCAGAAAGACCACCTCCCAAGTATGCTGCCTGCGTGGCCACGCGAAGCGTGTGCCCTCTGCTCGCTAGCTGACTCACGATGTGGCGCGAGTTCGCCACGCGCGCAAAGGACCGCGCTCTTGGGGGAAATCCTGGGGCCAGCCCTCTCCATGGACTCACATGTGTCGAGAAGGCATGCTACCATCTGCTTCCGAACTGGCTTGTAAGATGCGCGACATCTTCGACTCAGATCATCCGCCCAAGCCCGATGACACAGCGTTGACGTGTGCGGACGTGATGTTCTGCATGATGTGAAATGTAGCGCAGTTCTCGAATGTCGCGCCCCCTCTGGGGCCCTGAAGCCAGCCTGGCCGTACGACCTGTTCCGTCGGAGCGTGCGGACATTCATGCACGGTTGCAGCTCCAATCCTAAAACCTCGGTGGGGTAATACAATCGAATAGCTGCTCTTCCCATCCGATACCACCCCACGGTGTCATAGAATGTGGCTGCGTCCAGCATGCGGTGGGCCACCGACGCTCCGAGCCGCACGGCGAGCTCCTCGTCGACGGCCCGAAGAAAAACTTCGCGCAGTGCGGCATTACCGCGGACTGCTGCGTCCCAATGCGCCTCGCACTGGTCCGTCCAGGATCGGCCGTGGCCTTCTTGGACCTGACCACAGGCACCCATTGTGAGACAAGAAGCCGATGACCAAGGCGCCCGTGCCCTTCTTGGGTAGGAGCGTGCCCTGTGTGAGCATGGCCTGATGCGGCCATACGTGGTGCTCCTCACAGAGCGTAAGGATGCCCGCCAACTCCGCTACGGCACTATCTGTAAGTCGGGCGTGTTCCCTTACAAAGGGATTTTGTGCGAAAAATAAAAGATGCCCTAACAGTACTCCCAAATGGTTAAAATAGTATTAAAAGAACCGTCCCCATACTATGTCTTGACTGCTTTTGAATATTCCCCCTGTAGAGGGACACACCCGACTTAACACTATCTGGTAATCTGTCGTATTCCGTGCTGCTGACCTGATCGACGCCCTGCGCTGCGTTCGGCTTGATGCCTCGCAACGCTCGCCCCGGGCCCTCGGCCTTGATGGGCGGCAGGGCCTCCCCGCTGACTCGATTCATGATGTCCTCGAAGAGCTCCTGGAGCTGACAAGAATCGCCAGGGGCAGACGCCCACGTGGCCTGGCACTTCGTACTCTTGGCGTCTTGGGCACCTTTGGGATGTATCAAGGGGCGGTCGCATATTTCCAGCGCGTCGCTACCCATGGTGGACTTGAGATCTCGCGGGTCCCTGGGGGGGCTGCGAAGTGCGCAACCGTTGCCACTTTCGTGGGCTCCTGGGAGGCCCTGCGGAGTGGGTGGACACGGGGATCCACTTGAGACCTCGCGGCTCCCTGGGAGGCTGCGAAGTGTGCAACTGTTGCCACTTTCGTGGGCTCCTGGGAAGTCCTGCGGAGTGGGGGGACACAAGGATCCAGTTGAGACCTCTCGGCTCCCTGGGAGGCTGCAAGAGCGCAACTGTCGCCACTGTCGTGGGCTCCTGGGAGGTCTCGCGGAAAGGGGGGACACGAGGATCCAGTTGAGACTTTTCGGCTCCCTTGGGGGGTTCGATGTGCACAACTGACGCCATTTTCGTGGGTTTCTGGGAAGTCCCTTGGGCTGGGGACACGGGGATCCAGTTGAGACCTCGCGGCTGGGGGCTGCGAAGTGCGCAACTGTCGCTACTTTCGTGGGCTCTGGGATGCTCCTACACAGTTTAGGGATTTCAACACTTTGGTTTGTAGTGAGCGGTCCTGTGTGTAGTCGCCACATGTTTCCAAAGGGTTGAGTACGTCCCTAAGTAATACAATACCCATCTTCATCCGCGGAACGCGGTGCGATCCTCCGACCCCATCCACTCGGATCCCGTCTGGACAGAACAAGTCAGAGTCGAATCGACACGTAATATCGGCGATCGAAATAAATCGGATCGGCGGAAATCGGCAGCATCGGAGACATCGAATCGGCGGAGGTCTGCTGGCTAATAGGCCACCATTGAAACCCTGAATCGACATCGGCATTCAAAGTCGAGTCGCTCGGAATCGGAATCGATCGAATTCAAGCCGAGTCGGAGGAGTCGAGATGAGCCCTGTCTGGGAGGCCTGGAAGCGTGGCCTCATGTGCAAAGCAATAGGGGACCACATGCGAACCCCACCCCTACCCCCCACGATTTCTGAGGGGGAGGGTGGGGTTCACTTCGTTCGGGAGCTCCAGAGCGAAGTGAACCCCACCCTACCCCTCAGAAATCGCGGGGGGTTGGGGTAGGGTTCGCATGTGGCCCCTGGAGCAAGCCGCAGAGCGAGGGGGAGCCGCGCGCGCCCACCCTCGGAAACCTGCGGACGGCGCGGGGCAGCTCGGGGTACTCCTGCAGAGTCGCCGCGCCGGCGCGGGGTGGGGTGGGGGGCGGCGGCGGTCTCATCAGGAACACGAGTCAATATGTGCCAATCCCTAGGATAAGCAAAGATGTGCCAATCTCCAGTTGCTCTAGCTCTTCGAGTGCGCAAGCCTGCGGTGCAATTCGCACGTGGTGGGGCCCAAGCACTCCTTCGGCGCACGGACCGGGGGTACCCCTGCGGCCAAGAGCGCCCCGACACAACACTTCTGGGCTGCTACGTGCAGGAAGAGGACAGGATCAGTCAGCATCGAATCGAGAAATCAGATCGAATCGAACTGTGCATCGGGTTGGGCTGCATCGGCACGAAATCGAGATCGGATCGGAGCGCCAGGATGCATGACAGTGCCATGCACGCATCGGGCCGCATCGGATCGCGGGGAAATCGACCTCGGATCGGTTCGAGTCGAACTCGAACGTCGAATCGGATCGATCGGACCGAAATGGATCCTGGATGGGTGGGGGGAGAGGGAACATCAGAGTGCAGGTAAGAGAGGGTCAAGTGCACGAGGGTCAAGTGAGGGGCGCAGTCATCTGGAAAGCAAGGTTCGCGAGGTTGTGCAGTACTCTCGAACTTGTGGGGAATGTGCGGAACCTTTGAGACGTGCCAGAAAGATGGTTCTCCTCAGCGGGAGGATCGGGTGCGCCGAAGGCGGGACCAGGAAGAGCATCGTGGCCCGAGGCATGTGCGATGACGAAGGGAGGGGCAAGGGATGTGTTCAAAGAAGAAGACGCCCCTTCGGCAGGAGATGAGGGATCTCTGGCAAGAGACAAGCGAGGAGACGAAGACTCGAGCTTGCGGGACTGGAACATGGGGGCCGTCAGAAACATGATAGGACAAGTCAGACTATGCGTAAAGATCACCAAGCATTGGAGGAAGCTGGGATGTCTGAGCTGGTTGACCCCGAGAAAATCGGTCGAGAGGGTGGGGATGAAGGCGAATCCGCTCAAAATCGGTCCCTGGACCCCTCGCGGGTTCCACCTGGTGCAATTTTTCACACGGGCCTGAAAACACCCCCAGAGACCGAAGAGGGCAAAAACCCATCGAACCTGGAACCTCGAACCTCATCCCCGTTCCTGCTGGCCGGAACCAGTGCTGGGCCACTTCAGACCCCAAACATGCCCCAAACCCAGCAGCCCCCTCGGACGTGCCCCGCAGCCTCCCCGATGGGCGAGTGCGCAGCTCCGCGCGGACACGACGTATCAAATTGGCGCCCTGGCGCTGCTGGTTCAATGGAGTCGAGCACGCGCGGGGAGGGAATGTGCCGGTGCCGGTCACTCGGGGGCGTGCGCGGCAAAATCACGGAGAGAAGCAGGGCAAAGCCGCCCAAAGCGATGCAAAGAAATGCAAAGCCACGCAAAACAAGGCAACGCAATGCGGATCAAACCAGGACTGTGCGAGGCAACGCGGAGCGAAACAAGCCAACGCAACGCACTGCAGTGCAGTGCAGTGCAGCACACGAGGATGCAGAGCAGTGCGAAGCAGTGCGAAGAAGTGCACGAGGATGCAGAGCAGTGCGACACGAACCCTGGACCCCACCAGAGGAACCCTTGGAAATCCATGAGTTCCTCCGACGGGTTCTGGAAGCTCCTCGACATCCCAGGACATTCCATACCGAAATACATGAAAACCCAAAGGAACTCTGTGACGAACCCGCGGGAAAATTGCGGAAAGGGGTCCATGGGGATCTTTAGGGAGCGCGGTGCAGAAGCCCCAGGAACCCTAGCAGGGTGGGCGTCGCTCGCACCTGGACTAGAAAGCGCGGACATAAAGCATCTCCCTCACATGGCGCTACTGGGCGCTAGTGGGCGGTGTTCGCCGATATACATTCAATACAAGACGGGTAGAAATTAATGCGTTTTACTACCTAACCTCGAACCTCTGTGCACAGAGCGGGCCAACGCCCCGTGGGCAGAGCCTGCCGTAGGCTCGCGTCGCCACGACTCGCGCTTTTGCTTCCGACGCCGCGTGGACTGCCCAGCCTGGATGGATGTGGTCACCCAGCTTCGCGCGTCGCGCCCTGCGGTGCGCGACGCGCGGCCATCCTCACGCCCCGGCGAGACCGTCCTGAAGAACGGCAGCCGTCCGGCCGTGGCCGCGAGGCGCGATCATCTTCGCATTCCCGGGGGGGACGCATCAGCTGAACATGCCTCTCTGACAGCGTGTGCAGATGGCCGCCGCTCGGGGGCGTGCGACCTTCTGATGCTTCTCGCATATATTCAGGAAGTCCCCCCTGTCTAGCAGCAACACCTCCACATAGCTCATGGACATCGCGGTGAATGGAGACAGGAGTGTGCTGTCAGACAAGATGAAGTCCTCTCCCACAGAACAGCTACGCATTGGAAGAACGAGAGCAACATTGCTCCGTCGTCATCACAACTTGAAAACTAACTCGATGCGATATCAACTGAAACCCAGCAAGGCAACAACTACGAAATGCATTGCTGTAACCCACATGTGATTCCAGACCTACTGCTTGAAGTTCAGGGTTCAGGTGCCACATTTGGATACTATCGGCACTGGGCGAGTGCGCTGGTTCGAATAACGCACGTCTAGCCCGACGAGTATTCGCAATACCCTATATGCATGGCGTCGTTGATTATCACCACATCACATGGGCACGCACACACGCACACGCACACGGGCACACACGCGCCCCCCCATCCCTAACACACAACACAGACACAACACACAAACACACACACACACACGCACACACACACACACACACACGTACGCACCAACGCACACACAGTCAGTCAGTCAAGCCAGGCGCCTGACAACGGCGCATCGGCAAGGAATCGACAGGAGCACGATTGGCCATGGATTCCACGAAAACATATTGGCAGGAAGTGCGAAAAGTGTTGCAGACCCACACTAGATGGAGGCCGGCCCGGTGCACGCACAGAATTCGCAACGTTACCTGCATGCTTGCCAGATGCAAGCGTTGGGGGTGGGAAGAGAGGGAGGGGCGCCGAAGGGGGGAGGGAGTGGGAATCACACAACGGTGCGAAACTGCATGCTTGGATCAAACACCACACCAAACACACGAGAATTTGACTCAGACAGCACGGGTGCGTCAGCGGCGTCTTCGACGATCACCCCGTTACGGCAGAAGTTCCGGACAGAAAGAATGGAGGATTTTGTCTCGAAGTGCTGCCCACCAAAACCTTTCAATCTCACAATACCGCCATGCAAACTTTGTACACGGCTTCCCTTTGAGATATGGCCTTTCGAGCTCAATATGATCACCGACCCCTCGTGCCCTTCATTCTGGTCTGGGGTGCAATCAACCATATTTGTGCTTAGAGCCGCCGGCGCAACATCCGAAGTGTTTGCCTGTATGTCAGACGCATCGCTCGTTGTACTCCCGGACGGCGTCTGCAAAGGTACCGAAGCCATTCCAGAGCAAACTTGCACGCCCATGTTGAACGCATCAATCATGTCCGTTTGCGTTGCTCGACCATTGCACCACGAGCGCCAGCTTTGAGGAGCACCTGAGTTTGGGATGCATGTGAAGCGCAATTTCCCCTCAAACTTTTTATCTGCACTGGCACAGCCTTGTCTGAAATGTATGATTGAGTTTGGGAAGTGCGGGGAACGTAATTATCTATCCTCCAAGATGGTTGTCTGAACTGCCGCGTCTTTTGTCTGAAATATCGTAAACTGCTGCTTCAGCAAAGATCCTTTCCGAGAATGTGATTCACAAGCGGCCTCCCTGTCAAAGAAATCTGGCTCGTTCTTCGGCGATGTCTCGGCACCTGGTTCTTCGCGCCCCTTGCAATGTTCATCGACTTCGTCGATGTTTATGGCCACCAGCGCATCGACGCATTGAAACACATGCTAACTAGTGCGGAACAGAAGCAATTCCATAATGCGCACTCTCTTCTCGATCTCTACCACAAAGTGTTGGTGTCTTTCCCAAGGCGTTGCACAACATTGTCTGGATCATGCTTCGCTCGAGGAGCACTGCGTGCATCTATAGAACCCAATCGGCGGACAACTTCAACAAATTGACTCATTGCCACAATTTGAAATTCTACTGTAGCTGCATGCCGCCGCCGGTTGCGCACTGGCCACGACGACTCTTTCCCGAGTGTCCAAACCTGGTGGGCAGAGGAGCAACGACCGATGCCCATCCTTTGGCAGATAAGCTGTAAGCTGTGAGCGCGGTGCTAAAAAGTACGCTACGCAGACTAAGCTCAATGCCTTGAAAGCCTTGAGCCAGCTGTGGATTTGAGCCAAACCATACCCCAAGAATACGCCTGGCGTCGAAGACGAAACAACAGCTGATTATGCAACAGTCAAAGAAGGAGAGAGGAAGGCGGCCGCGGAAGAAACAAGGCGCGGCGCTCACACGCCCGGCGACACGCGCGATCAGGCCCCCCCGAGCGCACCACCGTGGCTCCAACCCGCACCTGACGATTCCAGCAACATCTCGAAGCGCGAGCTCCGTCTGCATCGCTGGCGCTTATTGTGGAACTGGGGGCGCGCGACGCCAGAGTTCAGCCGCGAGGCCTCCTGCCCACCAGGGCCATGAAAAAAACGCTCGACGCGACGAGCCCGCTGGTTGGTAGCGACGAGTGGCGCTTGCTGGCTTTAGGAAAACATTCAAGACGATGGCGTCGAGCTCGATCTTCTGGTGCCCAGCGCAGCACGTCGTTGATAGACCGCCGCGTCTAGCCACGCTTCCAATCGTTATGCCTGCGCTCGTCTCTGCATGTGTCACTGCCCGTGAAACGCTGGCCGCGCGAGATGCAGAACTACTTGCTGTGTCGCGCTAGGCCCAACCTTTGCGTGGTCTTCCTGCAGACGATGCACCCCCGGGATGCGCGCTGCCGGCGGCGCCGAGGCGCCGTGGCCCATGTGCTGCAAGGCGGGCAGCGGCGAGACGAGCAGCACGCGAGTGGCCTTGCGATGGTCTGAGAAAAGATGGCTTGAAGGCGTGCCCGCGCGAGGCCAGGTCGGGCAAGCTGCGCCCCCTTCTTGGGGCGGCGCTTCAGCCAAAGGAGCAGAGAGGGAACGACATGATGATGATGATGATGATGATGGTGATGATGTGGATGGATCGGGGCCATCTGCCGTCTTCTTGCGCAAGCGGCGAAGGGCGGCCGCGAGCTCGAGACGACCGCTGGCGAAGTACAGACTCGGTGAACCATGTTACTCTTTGCCCCCAAGTTGGGCGGGGGGGCCCTGGGGAGAACTTGAGCAAAAGTGTTGTGGCCACGGGTGTTCCACACATTCCGACGAGTCGCTGTGCGTGGACGGATCGGGGCCATCTCCCTTCTTTCTGTGCAAACGGCGAAGGGTGGCCACGAGCTCGAGGCGACCGCCGGTGAAGCGCAGACTCGGCACCTCGCGCCGCGCTAGTCCCGACCCATGGCCACAGCAGAAAAAAAACATTGGCCAAAAACTTTCCTACTTCTGGCGGCAAGGGACAGCTGACGAGCGGCGGCCGCTATCATGGCCATCATCAACGCCGTCGGTTCATCGGCGCCGCGGGGCCTCATCCTGGGCCTCTCGTGGAGTCTGCGACCAGGGTGCCGGGGGCAGCGGTGGCCCTGGTCCCGCCTTAGAGCGCCTCTACCAGGCCTCGGTGGCACTTGCGGGCCCATGATTCTGACGCTTCACCGTTCGGGAAGGGGCTCGTGCATCACGGACGTCTCCCTTGAGCTAGCTTCAGAGGTCGGCTGAGTTGCTGAGAAGTGGAGGTATCACCAGGGGCCCAGCGTGTTCGCCAGGTCCCATGCCTTCGACGCTGCGGGCCCCCATCGCGATGCCGCTGATACTCGTCGTCACGCCGCGCCACCGCTGTCTACGCCATCATCGTCGACGGGCTGCCCGGGCTTCCTGGAGGTCCCTGAGTCCGTCTACGGGTTCGAGGGCTGGAAGACAATTCACTCGAGTCGGCGCACCCGCGCTGGGTGTGATATCTTGCAGTACGAGGCCGAGGCCCTGGGGTTCAGTGTCCACCGCGCGCCCAGGACCCTGGGAGCTCATCACCATCGCACCGTCTGAATCGTTTACAACTTGGCTCTAGCCCTCTCCATCGGGAAGGGGAGCTCCGGCAGCCCTCGCCTCGTGCTCGCCTTGAGGCGCGCCGCGGGCGCGTCACTGGCGCGCGGTTTTCGCGCGCCGGTGCGCTGGGTGCCCTCTGAGAGGAATGTTTCCGGCAAGCCGTCGAGGGAGGGGTTCTTCGTCGGCCCGAGTTTCGAGGGCGTCTCCTCGCGCCAGGTCGCGCGTCGGCCTGGGCCCCCCAAGCGAGGTGATCAACGCGGCGAGGGAGCGGGCGGTCCACCCCGGGCCCACCAGCCTCCTGCGACGGGGCCTGTCAGCGCTGGAGGGCGCCGCGGTCTCGGCGACGATGGGCAGGAACTACCCCGCCCACGCCCAGAAGCTGCTGAGCTGGTGCCCGTGGGCCGCGAGGCTCGGCGGGGGCAGCGCTGCGCTGGGCATCGCCCCAGTGGCGTTTTCCGCCCACCGCTTCCGCGACGCCTGCGCCAGCGCGACGGGCCCCATGACGGCGGCTGCGCTCAAGCACCGCCCCCTTCGACGCTGGCGGAGAGCAGGCCGCCGGCCGCTCGGGCCCCCCAGGTTTGGGCCAAGCCCGCGCCCCCGCAGACGCGCGCGCCGCTGGCGCGCGCCACCGCGCTCGCAACCGCGGGCGCGCGGCTGGCCCAGGGGCGCATCGGGGAAGCCAGCCTGTGGAGCTCCCCCCCGACCATGTGCGCCAGGCCTTCAAGAGCTCCCGAATCCCGCTCCAGCTCGACGGGGAGCAGACCTCCCTGTGCTCGCTGCACCTCGGGAGAGCGCGCGACGACCTCCTCGCGGGTCGTCGGGCGCGGAAGGAGGTGAACTACCGAGGCCGATGGAGGACGGAGCAGTCGTTGAACAGGTGTGCCAAGCGCGCTCGGACGCAGCAACGGCTGGGCCAGCTCTCGCCCGCGCTCATGGACGCCGGGGACAAGGCCGCGAAGCATTTCCTCGGCTGGGCGGAGGGGCAGGCGCGGACGGGCATCCTCGCACTCCCGCTGCCGCCGCCCCCCCCCGCGACCACGGCGACTCCACCAAGGGCGGCGCCCGCGCTGACCACGTGCAATGCCCGACCAGCACGCCGAGGGCACCCGAGGAGGCACGCCCACGTCGAAGAAATCCAAGAACAGCTTGGCGAGCGCGGGCGAGCCGCTCAGGACGCGCACGAATAAGCCCAGACAGCCCGTCGAACTGTAAACCTGCGAAGGCCCCCTCGCTGACGGCAGGCGAAAAGTCCAGGGCGGGCAGGCCGCGAGCAGTGCGAAGGTCGGCGACGGCGCGGGCGCGGCGCGGGGCGCGGCTATCTCTGGGCTCTTCGACACAACGCAGAAAGCATCGACATGACCTGCGCGTCCTGGAAACCAACGCCGGAGAGAGCTCTCGTTAGGGCACTCTGACAGAAGTGAAGGGCCCAGCTCCACCCCATGGGGACCACAGTGACCAAGGGCTGAACGAAATCGTTGAGACCGATGGGGGCTTCATTGATGGATTTGAAACCGACGCATGCATTGGGGGTCGCGGGCAGCGAGATCAGAAGCCCCATCCCTGCAGGCAAAGGTAAGTGATAAAACGCGCACTGGATGTCGCCCTGGGCGAACGCAAAACTGTCGCGGCAGTCGACGCTGGCCCGCGCGCTGGGCGCGGGGAGCCTCGTGGCTGGCGGCGCCGCGAAACTGCAGTTGGCCAGCCGCGTGTCGAAAAACGAGCCTGAGCATGCGGCTCGACTTCTCCTCAAAAAAACAAACCAGTTGAACGGCATTACCCCGGTGCGACCCTGCCTAGGAGTTGGGGCATTTAGGAAAGCAACATCTACATCTGCACCGATGCTAAACTATGCTGTGCTATGCTGCGCCATGTGCCTGCTATGCTAGGCTATGCTATGCTAGACCAACAAGCAACATCTACATCTACACCGATGCTAGGCGACGGTAGGATTTGCGTTGCTTGCGCTTTGCATGTGTTGTTGCTGCTGGTGTGTTGCCTTTGGTTTGCTGCTATGCTATGCTATGCCATGCTATGATGCGCTACGCTATGATATGCTATGCGTTGCTGTGCTATGCTTTGCTATGCTTTGCTATGCTGCGCTATGTTACGCCATGCTATGTTAGGGTGCGCTCGGCTGCGCTGTGTTATGTTAGCATGTGCTATGCTATGAAATGCTGCGCTGTGCTATGATATGCCGTGATATGATGTGATATGACATAATATGCTATGAAACGCTGCACGATGCTATGATACCCTTGGTTATCATATGATATGAAATGCTGCGCTATGATATGCTATAATTGCTATGCTACGCTATGCTATGCTATGGTCTGCTACGATATGATGTGCTATGCTATGCTGCGCTGTGCTATGCCAAACAATGCTATGTTATGCTATGCTATGCTAGGATGCACTATGCTGTGCGATGAAATACTATGCTGGCCTATGCTATGCTATGCTATGCTATGATGTGCTATGCTATGATATGCGTGGCTATGCTATGCTATGCTATGATGTGCGAATGCTGCGCTGCGCCATGCTGCGCTGCGCTGAGCTACGGCAAGCTAGGCTATGCTGAGCTGAGCTAGGCTAAGCTAGGCTAGGCTAAGCTAAGCTAAGCCAAGCCACGCTAAGCTAAGCTAAGCCAAGATGAGATAAGCTAAGCTAAGCTAAGCTATGGTAAGCTAAGCTAAGCTAAGCTAAGCTGAGCTAAGCTAGGCTAGGCGAGGCAACGCTAAGCGAAGCTAAAGCTAATATGAGATAAGCTAAGCTAAGCTAAGCTAAGCTAAGTTAAGCTAAGCTAAGCTAAGCTAAGCTGGGTGAACCCACGGGGCGCAACTGGGGGGGCCGCGGGGCGGATGCTGGGGGGGCCGCCCGGGGCGGCGTGCACTGCCGGGCCCCTTTGAGAAAGAATGTGAGAACTCTCTAGGCAGAGCCTAGGTAGGGAAAGAGGCCTGTGGGCTGGCGGCATGCCGTGACATCGCGTCGCGGGCCTCCAGCTGCTTCGCAAACTGGGCGCGCGACTTCGGCCGATGGCGAAGCTCAGGATCCACGCGGGGGCGCAAAGCCCCCAGAGACTCACGAAGCTCCGCCGCGACCGACTCAAGAATCCAGCATACTCTGCCTCCACCCCTGCAGCGCGATGGAGTCGGCCTCGGCGACGCCGTCGGCGGTGGAGACTGCCTTCGTCGACTCGGGCCCAGCCGCAAGAGGCTTGGTGCGGGGGCGCGCTCGGCCGCTGTCGCCAGCGCAGCCAGGTGCCTGGGCGAGCATCTCTACGAGGGATGCTTCGCAGGCGCTGCCCCTCTCCGAGTAGGCGGCGGGCAGCTCAAACTCGCGGTGCTGGTCCGCAAGGTACTTCGCAGAGGCTGCCTGCGCCGCGGGCGTGTGCGCGCTGCCCCTGTGCTTGCGCAGCTTGTCCTCGCCGCAGTGGGGCCAGCCGAGAGCGGTCAACCCCTCGTTGCGCCGCCCCCTCCAACCCGCGCCTTTGGTGGCACGCGAAAGAGCAACTCGTCCAAGGGGCTGGTGACGTCGCCCATCCAGTGGAAGAAGGGGCAAGGGAAAAACGCTGCGCTGGCGAAGGTCGCCGCGCCTGGGCGACTCTAGACCAGGCGGGCCCTGAGGGGCCCCGGGCGTATCTGACCAGGCTCTCGAGCAGGAGCGGCGTGCTCGGGGGGCCCGCCCAGGCCCGCGTCCTCGGGGCACGACATGGGGCCCGCAAGGCTCGCTCCTCGCGAGCCCTGCGTCGTTCATTCGCAACTGCTGCCTCGTTCTCCATCTGATATGCTACCCAATCCACCGAGGCAGGACTGATGCACAGGTTGCCCATCGCCCCGCCCGTGCCGAGGGAGTGCCCGACCTCCGAGGCGAAATCGGTCGGGTTGGCCTCCTTGGCCGGCGCCTTCGCCGTGGGCGATGGCTGCATCTTCCGCGCGCGCCCCTCGAAGACCCGCCCCTCGACCAGCTGGAGCTGGCGAGCCAGGTACTCGAAAGAGGCGAGCTCGCAGATCACGACCTGGTGGTGGCACAGCGCGGTCTCGATCACACGGCGCATCGTCTCGTGGAGCTTGACGTTCTCGCCATGCTCGCCGAGCTGCATCAGCCATCGGGCGTGCCAGGCCAGTGATCCGCCAGCCATGCACTGCACATGAATCCGAGCACCCAGAGCAAGGTCCTGGGCCCTTTCACGGGCCAGTCAGCGCGGCCCGTCTCGGTCTGGACCTTGAGCGCACCGCCGAAGCTCAAGTCGCGCAGGCCCCGCCCGTCGAGGACGAGGGCTATCACACGGGGGTCGCCGACCGCTGCCGCCGCCGCGGGAGGGGGGGGGCAGGGCCCGCCGGCGCCTGCGGGTCAGCCGCGGCTGCCGCGGGCGCAGGGGCTCCGCCCCCGAGCGCGGCGGCCAGTGCGCCAAAGCCGCCGCCGGCTGGCGGCGCGGCTGCGGCGGGCGGCGCGGCCAGCGCGGGCAGCGCGGCGGGCGGGGGAGCTGGCGCCAGCGGGTCGGGCAAGGCCAAGGCCCCTGCCGCCGCGCCCAGGACGTTGGTCGCGCTGAGCTCACAGGTTGAAGAGCGAGATAGGAAGGGGCCCACGCCCCTGTGCGACTCCCCTTCGAAGAGCTGCCCAAACATCTGCCGCTCGAGGGAGTTGCCGAAACTGATGCAAGTGGTCGGCGGGAGCTCCAGGCAGCCGTTCGCCTTGGCCCACGAGGAGGTGCACCGAACGGAGGTCTCCGCCTGCGACGCCGCTCTCGGGATAGTCGCCGCCATCGGGCGTCAATCTGTAGCCAGGCAAGAGGGTCAACCCCTCGTGGTAGATGGCAGGGTCACCGATAATGTATCGCACAAGGTGGAGCTGATCAGGAAGAAGAATCGCCATGATGACTCTCACCGGCGGAAGCTACGAGCATGGGCGGCCGCTGTTGCCGCAAGTTCGAGGGTGGTGATGGGCTCTTCCGATGCGGACGGGCTCGACTTACGTCGCACCAGAAACACTTTGGTGGCCGAGGTCGGCGTCTAGTTGAAATAGAGACCGCCGAGAACACACCGTAGGGAAAGGCTAACAGCACCAGCACGACTCGACCAGGCGCTCCGTCGACCATTCCACGGGCGAGATCGGCGTGATCTGGCCCTCGCCGCTGGGGCAGTGGCACTCCAAGGCGGGGCAGTGGAGCGCGGGCGAGCACACAATCTGGGCACGGGGTCGAACTCCCACGCGCTATAATGGCAGTAGTGACCGCATTGCAAAGGTCGTGGGCGAGGCGTTCGAGCAGGGCCTGCACACCCTCAAGAACTTCAGCAAAAGTGTTGCGGCCACGGATAGTCCACAAATGCCGACAAGTCGCTGTATGATGATGACGATGATGAGGAAGAGGAGGAGGAGGAGGAGGAGGAGGAGGAGGAGGAGGAGGGCGAGAAAAGATGAGGAGGAGGACGCGGAATAATACGCCCCTGGGAAACAAAGCGTGTCCCGATGCCGCTGCCCCCGGGACCTCTGCCAAGGTGCGTTCCGACGTGAACCCCGAGACGAATCCGGCCGTGGTGACGAGGGGCCTCCCAGGAGGCCCGAAACGACAAGAAAGAGACGAGGCCAGCCGTGTCGAAAAGCAAAGCAGACGGCACACACATGAGCTTGTGGATCCTCGCAGAGCGCGCGCCAGGGATTGGGGCCCATCCCAGAAATCCGCGCGGCGCTCCAACAATCTGTGCTTATATGCTTCTTCGAAGTATCGGCACATGTCGCTTCCTCCAATTCGAAGCCCAAATCTTGTGACGGCCATGCGGTCAAACGCCGCGCGGTCCGTCACCGCACGGTTTGGGAACCTCGGACTCGCCACGATCCGATGGCAACTAATGGGAACCTTCCATACCATCTTGCTGGCTCTTGCGAATCGGCGCTATAAGCGCCAAATCGATGCTGAATCGACGCTCATCGGCGCTAAATCGGCGCTACCCGATCGATTCCCAAACGCTAATCGGCGCTAGTGCGCTCTCAGGACGGAATTGCGAGGTTCTACAAGGCTCCCATGACTTGCTACCAACCCCACTGGCTCACAATGCGGTGTAGTCACCACACACTGCTTGGCGGCCCCCGAGTAGCCCCCTACTCATCCCCAGCGCGGGGCCGCCCCCGTCCTCGCCCCAGACCGCGCCCTGGCGCACGACCAGCTGGCGATCCCAGACCGCCGCAGCGCCCGCCTTCCTGTGGGCCTCGCCGACGCGCAGGCGCAAGTGCTCGCGCATGCAGATCCCGGTGCTGCGCGGGTGAGGAAACGGGGTGGAGGAGGAAGAGGAGGATAATGAGGATAATCGGAAGATGCGGAACAGGATGAGCAGCAGAATAAACAGCTCGGGGGGGCGCGGGTCTTTTCACCAACGGTGAACCTGTCCGTCTCCACCCACCTCGCGCCCTGGCTTGCAGGGCGCCGTCCCGCGGATGTGCGGTCGCACCGACACGTTCTGGCCTACTTTGCAAATTGGCTTTTCGCCGTCTCGATGACCAAGGGCCTATGAAGCCTCAAGGCGGCTGCAATGTCGCCAACTAGAGCCCCGAGAGGAGTTCACTGCTGCCCTACAGCGGCTCCAGAAGCACTCATGAAGGCCTCAGTAGTTAATGCTCCGAAAGGGCTCCAATAGACGATAGCTTGGGCGCCTGCTAATTCGTGCCGCCCCCTTTTCGATGACCTCCAATATGGCCCTATGAGGGCACGAAATGTTTCCAAGAGGGCCTAAGGGAGTCCCAGGAAGACCCCAACGGATACCAAGAGGACGCCAATAGAGTTGCGCGGTGGCTCCAAGAGGCCTCAACATGTTTATACAAATTCACCCATGTCGGCCTCTCTGTTTCGCATTATGTCCTAATCTGCCTCGGCGCGCCTTGCCTCTAGCCCGACCAACGCCTGACCGCTTCTTGCACCCTGTCGACAACTGACTTATAAAGGTTCGCGATACATATATATATATATATATATATATATATATATATATATATAAAAATGTATGTCCTATGTATATGTATATATACACATGTATATCGGAGGTTGGGGGTGAGATCGCAATGGAACGGAGATCTCCAACCGGGAATTCGTCTCGTTTCGTTCGCGTCGTGCGTGCGGGCGAGGCGAAGCTGCGTGGGCGCGCGAGAAGAATGAACCCGCCGCTGCTAGGGCGAAATCAAGACAAATGATTCTCCTCCGCCGTCCGTCCGGCGGTGGCTTGAGCGGTGTCCCGCGGTGTCCCATGGTGCCGCATTTGCTAGGGCGAAGTCAAGACAACTGTTTCTCCTTCGCCGTCCGTCCGGCGGTGGCTTGAGCGGTGTCCCCTGGTTTCCCGTGGTGTCCGCCGTTGCTAGGGCGAAATCAACACAAATGATTATCCCCCGCACGAACGTCCGTCCGTCCGTCCGGAGGTGGCGCGCGGTGTCCCGCGGTGTCCCGTGGTGTCCGTCGTTGCTAGGGCGAAGTCGTCACAAATGGTTATCATCGCAAGATAATAAGACTAGAATGCTTCTCACTCTGCACAGACAGAAATGGTTTGAGCCAAAGCGTACATCAGTCAGAAATGCAAACGTAAGCAGACAACACAGACAATACAAAAAGCACTGCGTAGTCAGGACGAGAGGGCGCTAAATGATTCCACAGTGGGGCTCTGTTGGGGGCCTCTTCGGCGGTCTTGGGGCGGTCTTGGGGCCCACGTCGTCGGCCGTCGTGGAGCGTTGGAAGGTTGGAAACGCGAGACACCGAACGACATAGGAAAAACCATTGGAAATGAAGGACTTGGGCCTCTTCGGGCTCTCTCGGGACGCCTCTCTCTCAGAGGTCTTTTGAGGCCTCTTGGAAGTCTCTTGGGCTGTGCATTTGCGGTCTGGAGCCCGTCTTGGGCCACGTTGGGGCTATCATGGGCTGTCTTGGAGGGGCTTGTCGAAGTCCCCGGGGGCTTCTGGGAGCGTCTTGGAGGTCTCTGGGGCACTCTGGGGGATCCACGACCCCTCCGGGGTGCTCTGGGAGCGGTTTCGGAGGCCCCGGTCCCCCCATGCGCGCTCGAGGCCCCGGCCCCAGACGCCCGGGCCTCTTGCGCGGGTGTATACATATATATATATATATATATATATATGTGTGTGGCGCCTCTTCAACAGCTTGCCTGGGCATCGTTTCTGGTTGGGGTGGCCGCGATACGCAAAACGTGACTTAAACATTTACCCTCCGCTACTGCCCAACAGACGCCCCCAAGACAGCCCAAACAGGAAAGTCACCAAGAAGAACAAAGCGCCCCCAACACAAACCCGCGGGGCCAGAGGCACAACTGTGCTAACCGACCAACGACCCGCCTGCGCCGCGACCCACCTGCGACTCAACAACGACCCATCCGAACCGTCAGCCGCCCGCGTGGCGACCCACCCGCGACACTATGCCAACTGAATCGGCATCTCTGGCGGGCCGACCGACCGACACTTTTTTCGAAAACAAGACCGGCGCCTGCTGCGGCCCATTTTGTGTTGGCTATGGAAAAAACACCATTTTGCGCCCCAGCCCTGGCACCCCGCACTCTTATCCGCATGCGCGGGACTGGGAGCTGCGTGCTATCCGCCACCGTGCCCTGTGCACGTTGAGGAGGAAGAGTGCCAGGTGTTGCCTGACAGGGTTTCTGTAGTCCCACCAGCCCTTTGGGCGTGAGTGGTTTAGAGAGCCCGCTCTGTTCTCAACCCCCCTTCTTCCCCTTCGGGGAGGGGTTTACCCCTCCCCCTACCCCCTCCCCCTGGGCCTGGAGAGGTCCCTCCGCGGGTCGTTGGGGGGGTCATTTTCGACTCCTGGGAGGGCTTAAAAACGACACCCCTCACGAGGATTCTGGCCCCGACGGGGGGAGGGAGAAAAAACCCTCTCCTCTTCTTTGAAGCCCAAATCATTGATTTTACGTTGGTTTTGGCCCCATGTTGGCCTTCTGAGGGGGCAGCGCTCATTACAGCTCCCCTCTTCTTTCAAGCCAAAATGATTTATTTTACAAAGGTTTTGTGCTCATTTTGCCCTTCTGAGGGGGCAGCGCTCATTAAAGCTCCCCTCTTCTTTGGTCGATTCCCTCCAAGATGGCCCCAAGAAGCGCCCAGGAGGCACCAAGAGGCCCCAAGATGGCCCCAAAAGGCCCCCAGGAGGCCCCCAAGATGCCCCCAAGAGGCCCCCAAGATGCCCCCAAGAGGCCCCCAAGAGGCCCCAAGAGGCTCCCCCGAGGCACCCAAGACGCTCCTGAAGCCCCTGGGGCCGCCAAGAGGCCCCCAAGACGCCCCAAACGGCCTCCAAGAGGTTCCCAAGAGGCCCGAAGAGGCTCCCCCAAGGCACCCAAGACGCTCCTAGAAGCCCCTGGGCTCCCCAAGAGGCCCCCAAGACACCCCAAAAGGGGACGAGGTGCCCGAACGCCTCACGCCACGAGGAGCCCGAACGACTCACACAAGGACGAGGGGCCCGAACGACTCACACCACGAAGAGCCCGAACGACTCACACCAGAAGGAGGGGCCCGAACGACTCACACCAGGACGAGGCGCCCGAACGACTCACACCACGAGGAGCCCGAACGACTCACACCACGACGAGGGCCCCGAACGACTCACACCACGAGGAGCCCGAACGAGTCACACCAGGAGGAGGGGCCCGAACGACTCACACCAGGACGCCCGAACGACTCACACCACGAACAACTCACACCAGAAGCCCGAACGACTCACACCACGAAGAGCCCGGACTCACACCAGAAGGGCCCGAACGACTCACACCAGGACGAGAAACCCCAAACGACTCAAACCACGAGGAGCGCTTTCTCTCCCTCCTCCTCCGCCTCGTCCTTCTCCCGCTCCCCCCACAAGGAGGATGTACAAGGAGGCGGGAGGAAGGAGGAACAGGGGATATATGCGGGGCCAAGCGGACACACGCCTAAAAAACACGACTGTCGGCATGCTTCGCAAGAGTTGCTGTTGTGAGATGGGCTGGTGGGGATACGCGAAGCGTAAAGAATTTTCTACGCCCCCCCCCCCCCCCAAACGTCAGGCACCCTCGTGTGCACCACCCCCGCTCATGGGGCTCCCTGGGCGGCCAAGGCGCCACCCTAACGCTCTCTCTAAGGCGTCCAAAACGCCCAAGATGGCCTCCAAGATGGACCTGGCAGGCCACCGAGGCCGCCCAGATAGTCCACGCGGCCTCCGTGACGGCTTCAGATGGCCTCGAAACGGCCCAAGGGGCATCAAAGCTAGCCCAGGAGGGCTCCATTCGAGCCTCCGGCAAAGCCCGAAAAGACCCAAATCATTCGATGGTGTTTGAAGGATTAACATTCTCGCCGTTTCGAGCTTTCGTCGGCTCAAGACAGCCCAAGAAGCCTCCAAGATGGCCTCAAGAAGGACCATGAGGGCACCAAGAGGGCCCCACGACGGCCCAGGAGGGTGCAAATATGGCCCAAGAGCGGGCCAAGAGGACCCCAAGTCGACCCAAGAAGGTGCTTAGACGGCACTCAAGGTCGCCAAGAGAGCCCCACGACGACCCAGAGAGCCCTCCAAGATGGACCCTGAAAGCGCCCAGGCGGCCCAAGAGCGCCCTCAGACGACCCAGGGAGCACCGAAGAGCCTCCGAGGCGCCTCCAAGGCGCTACCAAGAGGCACCCAAAAACCCCTCAAAAGGTCCCCAGAACCTTCAAAAGCCAGAAAAAGAAACACGTGATTACATCCCGTGCCACCTCGAATAGTCGGCACCTAACGTGCTTGACTGGCACAGTGGCTGGACTTACCGCAGGCAGTTGGCTATCAGGCACTGGGGCCCAACAGGAGGATGAACAAACACATGGGTGGATTTAGTGTGGTGGTTGGGAGCGGGCTGAATTTGTATGTTGCGTTTGTTCTGCTGATCTGCTTGGTCGACAGTTTCGGGTCGTTGGGAGAGCCAAGCTGCGGAACAAAAACTAGCAAATTGCACAATGAGCTTAAAGGACGCGCGATTCACATACCTGCAAGCTGGAGGGCGCACAATGTGAAGCTTTTCGCGCGCCAGCCACCCGCGAGATCCAGCGCGCAGAGCACGCAAACACTCTTGCTACAACCACCCGTGCCGGACAACTCCCCAGACATTCCCGTGGGGATGCAGACTGCCCCTGCACACTCCATCTGAACAACCCTCCCCGAAATCTTGCTTACATGCAGTACAATACCTTCCTCCAGCGACAGCTCCTTACGATCGCGGTGGACTGTTGTATACGGTTGGCGGGCTCGCATAAGTGCGAGCACGGCAGTGAAGGACTTAACCAAATGCATGGCCCTGCTCCCAGTGGACTGCAAGTGGTGCGGGGTCAGACTCACGATTGGTTGGCATACGCGCGATGTCGAGTGCTGGCTTGATTGGGGGAGTGGCGTCAATGAGATTGTGGGCTCGATGGCAACCTGGTGCTGGCCTCAGGCCTCGCCGGTTGGTAAATTCACACTGCGAAGGAGGGGAATGAAAAGGAGGAGAAGGAATAGCAGGAGGAAGGAAGAGATACGCCCACCAGCGCACCAGAGAAGTGGGGGATGGGGAGGGGGTGTCGAGGCTGCGGGTACCTTTGATGGGGAGAGAGAGGGACCTGGTTCTACCCCCCTCACCCATCACAATCGCCAATGGAAGCTCCTCTTTGGGAGGGGCACACGAAACTTACAGAACCTTCTAGAACCCGATTCTAGATACCTTTGCGAGCCCCTAAAACTAGACATAAACAACACCTGGATTCCTAGATTTCAAATTTCTTACCTCCAGTTTCCACCCTCCTCATCTTCCTACCTACCCTCCCTCGTCTGCCTCTTCGGAAGTGTTCCTTATCTATCCACCCTCACTCTTGCCGTCCTGTTCCCTGCATCCTTTCTGCTGGGAAGTGTGTGTGTGTGTCTGTGTGTGCGCGTGTATGTGTGTGTACACTTCGTTGTGCATCCGCATCCCGCGTTTTTCTGCAGGTGATTACCCCCATCCAATCCACCCATCTGCTACGCAAGGTGGATATTAGCCTGAACGAGACCCGGCTTAGCGTATCGCGCGGTGTCGTCACCTCGCCGCTGGAGGCAAAGGTACGTGCACTCCGACCCTCCACCGTCGCTGGCGTAACCATCGCCGCCTCGGTTGCGTGCGTTCTGCCGCTGGGCGCCGCACACTCGCGTTTCTCCTGTGGGTCCCGTGCCCTCTGCACCGCATGCCCTCTGTTCGATCTGGGCCTCCCCCTTCCCCCACGCCGTCCTTCAACGTAATTCGGATCCCCCACAAAAGGCAGAATACAGCCCATATGATTGCTTACTGTTTAAATCACCTCACGACTGTGGTGTCAGCGCCACCAGCAAACATTCAGTGGAGGGCTCCTGTTGTTCGTACATCTTCACAAGTAGAATCAATTGCCCCGACAATGCCTCTGCTAGATTTTCCACTGCTGGCTGCCAACAACTGGCACAAGGTGTATGTACGGTTCTGCCCGCTGTCTAACGTCCCACATAACCTCTCACGGTGATCGTCGGAGTCGATCGCAGCCCGTCACCAAGCGAGACCGCATCCCTCCCTCACGCCTGCCATGCAGCGTTCGGCTGCAAGCCCAGGGGGAAAGAAAAAGCGGGCAGGCCATCTCTCAAGGCGGCGGGGCTTCTGAGAGGCCCTGTCGCCTTCTAAGCAATTGTCTTGTGTCCTCTGGGAAGGCCTAGAAAAACTCCCCAGAAGGCCCGAGGCCTTCCGAGCCTTCTGAGAAAGCCCGCCCCTTCTGCATTCCTCCTGTGGGCTCGCCGCCGAAGTGTGCTCCCTTGGCCAATGCCGATCACTGCTGGATGGGAGGGATGCAGCCAACACGCAACGCTACTCTTGCAAGGCGTCGGGGCGCCTGGAATGAAAGCCTTGGGCCTGGGGATGTCGACCACGCGCCCCGCCGAAAACCCTCCCAAGATGCAATATGTTCATGGTGCACTCTCTCATTCTGCATCGATCAATCCGCCACCGTGCCGTTGTGGCACGAAGTGGTATGTTTCAAGGTCCTGTGAAGCCTTTGCCTATCCCCTGAGCCTCAGTCCTCACTCCTGAAGAACTTCGAGGGGCCCCGACCCCAATGTCTCCAATGCGTCGCGTCGGATTAGCGGAAATCCGCTCCGCGAATTGGCCTCAAACCATGCGCGCCGACTCCCAGAATGCCCCGCGTCGGATTAGCGGAACGCCGCTCCGCTTGTTGCCCTTGAAGCATGCGCACCGATTCCCGGCCGCGTCGGATCAGCGGAACACCGCTCCGCCAATTGGCCTCACAACGTTCGAGTCGCGGAGTGCTCCGCATCGGATTGACGAAACGCCGCCCCGCTAATTGGCCTCAAAACATCCGCGCTGATTCCTGGGGTGCTCCGAGTCGGATTATAGCGGAGCGCCGCTTTGCTCATTCGCTTCGGGACATGCGATTCGCGCAATGCTCCACGTATGACTAGCGGAGCACCGTTCTGTCAATTGACCTCAAAATATGCGCGCCGAACCGGCGATTCCTGGAATACTCCGCGTCAGATGCGCGGGACGCCGCTCCGCTAAGTAGCCTCAAAGCATGCGAGTCGACATTGCTTGCATCACACCGCATAGCCTTCTCGCCCCCAAATCCACGTCATCGTTGTCCTCTCCTCCTCCTCACTGTCCTCCCCATCCTGTTCCTCCTCATCTTATTCCTCCTCCTCCCTCTTCGACCGACGTGCCTCACGCGGTACCACTTCGGCACCATTTCAAGCAAATATCTTCAGCCCCTCAAGCCAGGCACCAGAGATCCACGCCCGCCCCTCGTAGTACACATGAAAGACGGGCGCCCTCCATGAACCCGCGAAAGGCTTTCCAAAGAAACGCGCCGGGCATCCAACACTCCTATGCCCCACGACCAAGGCACGGTGGCGGGATTGGCCGAATGCAAATAGATGCGGTATTCCCGACCTTCAAACTCTCCTGACATCACAACCGAAAATGGTTGACGGCACATCCAACCGGCATGACTCCGTACGAGCGCCTACTGCAAACACTCCGAAGGCAATTTTCCTAATTCATGCTCAGCACATCAAGTTGAATTGAACGAGCAGCCTCAAGATGTATAGTGTGAACGGCTTGCCAAAATACTCCTCCGACGCGTACATGCGAAAATCTAAAGACAAGGAGATGTCCAACACAAACTTGGGCACTTTCCAGAAGAGCACCTGACAAGAAGCCCGAGCGGCAACAGTGACCACGCAATCGTGTGCATTCCAACCTTGTATCTCCCTCCCAGACCGCTGCGCTGGCAAACTGTCCACCTTCCCCTGATTCCCTAGGGTAGCAGCCAGCACGGATCACTGTGAGGACAACAGCTTGCTCAACTACCTTTCACGGCGCAAGATGACAAGAAATGCGGCACCGCGCTTGCAGCGGGATGGGGGAGTGCCTCCAGTCTTGGTGGATTGTTTTTGCCCTCCAGAGCGCACGTCCACTACCCCGTGCGAGCCCCAAGAGCCAATCAATTACAACCCCCCATTCACGGCCATGCCCTAACACCCTTCCGCTTCTCAAGGGATCGTTGGTGGCTCGCTTCACAAGGCTGAGGGCAAAGGCGCCCCGTCCAGGGAGCAAGCAGATACTGCAGGATGGCGATTCAGAAAGAAACACTTGGGGGGGACGACAAACACATAATTTCAGCCGCAGGGCAATACTTTGGAGAAGACAGCGGAATAGTCCCAATGAGAATCACACCGACGGGCATGAGCAGGCCGGGAACCTAACTTATACAATATCGCGCAAAGCGCTGCCCCGTGACGCATCCCTTGGAATTGCTCAGTAGTCATCCGACGTTACAGATACCACTGCCGCCCCGACCCCTTCCGGGATGCGTTCAAACTGGGATTCCGACGCTAATCTGGCGGTGGTGACGAGGGCCCCCCGAAAGGCCGCAAACTGCGATGACTGGGGACGGGCAAGCATCCGTTCTCTAAACGGTTTTCCCTCACTGATGGGGTGGGCCCTCGTCGAGACTCCAAATCGAGGCCCATGGCCAGGACAAGTACCTTCACAAGGCGGGAGATCGCTGCAGACTCTCTGCGGCTGTGTCCTCGCCCCCCTGGCCAGCCGCAAGGTCCCTGAGCCCGATGGCAGGCCTCGTCAGAAGCTCCACGGAATTCAAGAAACCGCCACTTGCAGGCGACCAATAGCATTACAGAGCCCATACTTGCTGAATCCAGTCTCGGGCGAAAGTTGAACGGGTGGGCGGCAAACGTGGGGGCACTGCGGTGTGCAGGGCAGAGGCCCCCAAGGAGGAGGCCATGAAGGGCTCCATGAAATATGCCTGAGAGGTTCGGGGGCGAGGACGGAGGACGAGGAGCAGCGTGAGGCAGAAACAACGCGCCACCACTGCCATCTCCTGGCTCGGCCGCAAGGCACGCACATCCACCGGCCACCTTGTGTGGCCACCAAGCTGCGGGGCTCAGGCTTGCTGCTCCCTGCGCTCGTTCCAGCTTCAAGCCTCCCATGGAATAGTTTTACAATCAACTTCTCACGAGGGAGGGGGTCCAAAAGAACCATGTTACCTCCCCTGGGGGGGGGTCAAGATTTCCGTGGAACCTTGGGAGATGTGATCGTCCGTAAATCACACCAAATTCGCATCCCCGAAGCCACGATCCCTGGTAAATTGCCAATCGCTTGCGTCCCCGAGGTCTCGATCCACAGTAAATGATGCAACGCTCCCGTTCGCGAGGCCACGATCCAAATTACGCCACAGTTGCGTCCTCGAAGCCATCATCCATTATACATCAAGTGTTATTCGCGTCCTCGGAACCACGCCACAAACCATCGAATTACACAATATTTGCGTTACCGAGGCGGCGGACCCCGTAGATTACCCAACATTCGCGTCCCCGAGATCACGGCCCTTCGATGTTCGCGTCGCCGAGGCAACGATTCTCTGCAAATGATGCAACCGTCGCGTACAATATTCCTCCTAAGTTACGCCATGCTTGCGCCCTCGAAGCCAGAATCCCCCGAAGATTACTCAACGCTTGCGTCCCCGAGCCCACGGCCCCTTCGTAACTTATGCAATGATCGCGTCGCCGAGGTCACGATTGCGTCTACATGATGCACGACTCGCGTCCCCGAAGCCATGATCCCTCGTGAATTGCAATATGGTCGCGTCCCCGAAGCTACGATGCCCGCGTCAATTATAAAAAACGAGTGCGCAACCACGCCTCTGGCACGAAGTGGAATGCCCCAAGGCTCAGCACTGAGAGGGCTGTGTTGCTGCTGAACCCAATAACTGCAAAAAATTCAAGGCCTGGTCCATGTGTTTCCCGGGCTTTCCCTGCATTCGCGGGAATCGCCCGAGTCGGCCTGCCCCGCCCAGGAGGGCCGCAAAACGAGCCCAAATGGCTCCACAAGGCCCCCAGCATGGTGAAAGAGGGCCCCAAGTCTCGGGCAGCGCCACTGGGCCACGATGGCCACGCCAAGCTCCCAACCCCCGGAAGCGGCTGGGAACTTGAGCCAAAAGGTCTCCAAGACGCGACAAGAGGCCTCCAAGAGGCCCCAGGAGGGCCCCAAGAGGCAAAAATCATGTTCGTCCTACCGTACTTGAAAAATGTTGGCGTTTTCGCTTGCTCGGCTGTCCCGCGCTCCAAGACGGCCCCCAAGACCACCCCAAGGCAGCCCAAGAGGCATCCAAAAGGGCCCTAAGACGGCCCAAGGGCGCCTCAAAACCGTCCAGGAGGCGCCCAAGACGGCCAAAGAGGGCCCCAAGACGGCCTCAAAAGGGGCCCAAGAGAGGGAACACGAACCGAAAATCCGAGCCTTCCGCCCCAGGAGGCCCCCAGGAGGCCCCAGGAGGCGCCCACGAGCCCACAGGAGGCCCCAAGAGGCACCCAAGAAACCCACAAGAGGCCCCAGCCCCAAAACGGCCCCAAAGAGGCGTCAAAGCTGCCTCCAAGAGGCCCCCGAGAGGCCCCCCACGAGATCCCAACGAACATCCAATATGTTTTATACCCACAAGCCAGGCACGGCCGAAGGTCATTCGATATTTGCGCCACCGAAGCCACGATTCCCAGCAGAATGTTAGTATTCGCGTCCTCGAGGCCACGATCCTTTTTGTCTATTAAGCTGCATTCGCGTCCCCGACACCACGCCCCATCATCAAGTACGCGACGTTCGCGCCCCGAAGCTGCGACTGCCAACAAGTTCGCAATGCGAACCGTCAGGATTCGAGAGATGTTGTTCAGAGTTGCTGCAAAAACCGTAACGTACGATATTGGCCCTCGCGTGAAGTTCCGACATTGCTTCACGAAGGAACCCTTGCATCCCAACTTAGCTTTGGCATGCCCCATTCTAGGGGAGAGGGGACCGGCAACACTGGGCGAAACCCTTACGGATAACGGAAGCCGCTTGGCTTGATGAAGCGCAAGATTCTGTCAGCCGGGTTCGGCGACACTGCGTCCCCCTGCTGGAAAGGTGCACGTTTTCTTCACCTTGCGCCTTCTTTCACCTGGCTGGGCGACCGAACGATCTGGGGTTGGCCTGGTCCTGGCAGTTTTTTTTTCTGGAAAACAGATATGGTGACACATTCTATGTTGGAGGTCCGCGCGGATGTCTTGGATCGGTGCTGGGCGCCCCTCCCTGGCGCGCGAAGCGCGCCATGGGCGGTGCTGGAGTCGCCGCCTGGGGGCCCAAACGCTGGTCCAAAAAAATCCGTGCAGACCGTCGGCAATTTATGTATATGCCATGTTTCTTCCTCGATGCTTTCCACATGTGATTTTGGGAAACCATGTGCTAATATATTTTTCCCCCGCAAACAAAACCACAACCCACTGACAGCATAACATATCCGGTTCCCTCACGGGGGCTATAAAAGACCCACAAAACAAGGAATGCGCAGTGTTGGCCGGCCGGGCAAAGGTCACCACATTCCAGGGAGAGCAAGGAGGACAGGGAAGGGAAGGGCGGGGAAGGCGGGAGGAGGAGAAGGGGGAGGAAGGCAGGCAAGTCCCTCAAAACACTAGGAGCAGCGCTCAGGCCAACCTGACATAGGCGAGCCGTTGCGCGCACCTGGAGACATGCGAGACTGGCAGAAATGCATACTCATGAATCCGAGCCCAAGCTCCATGAATGACCACGTAAACTTAAAAGCTCGCCCAGGACTAAAAAGGCAAGGCGGCCCCACCGCTAAGGCAGAGCCAAGGCAAGCTAACTTGCAGCCAAAGTATCAAATCTATGTGGGACCCGACGACCCGACCGAGGCTAGGAGCGGACCAGTGGAGGCTCCGAGAGACCCCAGAAACCGGGCGGACCTGAGGAGGCCTGGCCACTGGGCACTGGGGGAGGCCGAAAACCTCTCATGCACGAATTCAGCAGGCGAGGAAGGAGGAGGAGGAGGAGGAGGAGGAGGAGGAGGAGGAGGAGGAGGGAGGAAAGAGACGCGAAGGGAAAGAGCTCCAGACGAATACCGGATAGAGCGTGCTACATCGCGCGGGCCCCCAGCACAAGCGCACGCACCGATTCCGTGACATTCACAAAGGCCCCACAGGGCGGGAACTTGCAACTACTGATCCTGCGCGGCTTGGCGCGGATGAGGAACATGCAAAAGCCAAAAATAAGACTCCAGGCCAAAAAATGGGGTTCCGCCCCCCCCCCCCCCCAGGATCTTCAGGGGGGTTTGGAAAACAACATTTGCACCACGAGCTCCACGTGATCTAACCGTTAAGCTAACCTACTCATGCGGCAGCCCGGCCTCCCATCACTCATTCACCCGCCCCGCGCCTGTCCGCCGCTGGCAGCGCCGCGCCAGCCGCGGGCTGCTGCTCCTGGAGTTGCCGGAGGACCTCGGCGAACACCCGCTGGATGTCGAGGTTGGCCCTCGCCGTGTGGCTGACACCGGCGTGGGCCGTGTAGCCGACTGCGGGCATCAATGCCGTGCGAGCCACTTCCTGAGGAGGGGCTCCGGCATGCCACAGCATCGCCCGCGTGGCGCGGGCCTCCGGGTGCCCTGGATCCGCCAAACCCAGCTTGTCCACCCCGAAACGCCAGAGATGCCAGAAGCGAGCGTAGTGACGGACGTCATCATCGCCACCAGCGCAGCCGAAGAGGCAACGCCCTCCGCGCGGGCCCCAAAGCGGCGCCTAGTACACCAGCCGTTGAGCCAGGTGTGAAGTACGGCCGCTCGAACTCGCGGCGCCGTGCTTTTTCGGCAGCCGCTGTATGACCAGTCGGCGCCGCTGGGCCCAGCGGCCCGGCAGGGGGCTCGGGTCGTGCCATCTTCGGACTTTGCCGCTCAGCTGGGCGAAGCCCACTCGAAGCCAACGCCTACGCCGCAGGAGGGCTGCCGCCGATGACTGGAGTCGCCGGCGGGCACGCCGCCAGCTCGCCAGAAATATTGGCCGCGGGCCGCGCCCCGCCCCCTGCTCCATGACGCTGGACTCCGTGATGCCCTGCCGGGCCAGGCTTGCTATCGCGGCCTGGAGCTTCTGCACAGGGCCAGACGTGAACCATGCGCGCCATCTCCACTCTACGTCCCAAGGCGAGGCCGCGGCGCGGAAGCGAGCTCTCTCGAGGCGGCCCCGCCGCTCATCCAGCCGGAAGCGGCGCCGGTAGCCCCCCCCAGCGAGAGCCGCCCGAAGTTGGGCCGCGGGGCCAGCGGTGGTGAGCGATGCCATCTGGCATGGCATCGTGAATTCATCCCGCAACTGCTGGGCCACGCCAGGGGGCAACCACTTGTACGGCCCAGGGAAGAGAGATTGAATCGCCCACTGCTCCAGCCGTGACCAGTCGGGAGACTCCCCGTGCAACTGCGCCACATACTGTAGTTTGGATATCGCAAGGACGTTGTACGCTAACGTCGTCAGGTGCATCCCGTGGGTGCGACCAGCCCAATTGCACACCGCCTCCTTGTAGTTCCGCACGGGGGCGCCCCATCCATTCTCCGCCCCCGCCAAGCCGACCTCGAACCCCAGGTGCGCGCCGGAATGGGCCCTGCCGCCAGGCGTCTGCTGCGGCGCCGGGCTGCCACGTCCAAAAGGGCATCACCGTCTTTGCGAGATTCAGGTGCAGCCCAGACGCCGCGGCGAGGAGCGCGAAGAGGCGGTTCAGCGGCGGCCGCGCCCGGGGTCCGCTGGCTCCCACAAGAGCGAGGACATCGGCGAATGCGCAGCGCTCGCGGCGGCCTTCGACAGTGTCCAACTGGCGGTTGAATGGCTCCGTCATGAGCACAAAGAGCAAGGGGCTGAGATGGCCAGCCCTGCCGAATGCCCGCCGTGATCGTGAAGCCCTCCCACCATTGCCCCGCCATCGCCAAGCAGCAGCGCCGCCCTGCATACAGCGCGCGGATAGCAGCGCGGACGCCCTGAGGTAACCCCAGCTTCTCCAGCACATGGTGAAGGCAATCGTGCTCTATGCTGGGGAACGCCGCCCGCATGTCGAAGAGTAAGGCATACGGTTGGTCGTCCTCGCGGCCTGCATGGCCGCCTCGAAGTCAATGACGGTGGCAAAACATGGAGCGGCCGCGAAGGAAACCCCACTGATTCGGTCCCACAAGCTGCTCAATCGCTGGCTCAATGGCGTTCCGCAAAGCACTGGCCAGCACAAGCCGTTCGAGGTGTCCACCAGCATGAGTGGCCGCGTGTCCGCTGGGCAGAAGAAGGCGCCTGCAGCAGGGTCGTGCCCCGTGGGCTTTTTCGGCAGCAGCGCTAGCAAACTCCCGTTGAAGTCGCAGGGCCCGAACCGGTTATCCCCCGAGCCGTACTCGCGCATCGTCTCATCGGACCCTTCAGCCATCATCGTTTTCATGGTGCCCGTGAGCACTTCCACGCCAAGCTCCCCGATGCCCCGCCAGAAGCTGTACGGGATGCCATCTGGCCCTGGAGCCGTTGCACCAGCTGCCTTACGCGCCCGCCGCACGTGCGCCGCCGCCACCTCGCTCTCGGGCATCACCTCCGACACGGCTACTGAAACGGCTACAGAGGGAAACGGGTCCTGGACTCTGGGGCCTTCCCCCAGGACCAATTCTTCGTCAGGCTCTTTCTTGACGGTCCTGGGGCCCGCGAAGTGCTCCGAAAAAACACAATTCGCGAAACACCTCAAGACCCGTTTCCCCCAAGACCAATTTCCTGCATGGCGACCTGTAGCCAATGATCCGAGATATGTCATGAAGAACATCCTGGAAACCTCGCGCGGCAAATTGAATTCCACCTTACGTCGGATCCGCGTCGCAATCACGTCGGATTCACGCCAAATTCACGCCAGCCTTAACCCGGAACAGCGCTGCCCCAACGTCGTCCCATATCTGGCGGGACGGGCGTGTGGACCAGATCGTTCGGTGCATAAAATTAGTCTGCGCGGATATATCTTGGATCTGCGCTGGACACCCTCCCTGGCGCGCTGAGCGCGTCGTGGGTTTCGAGGGGCGGATCCCCAACTGGGGTGATGGGAGGGTGGGGCTGAGATGCCATGGCCCGCTGGGGGAGGGGATCGGTTGCACGATACCGACTCCAGGACTTTGCTCATGGAATGCGCAACTCCAGACTCGCTCAAGGGCAACGATATGGGGAGATTGTCTCAGGGAGGATCAACGACCCAGAATCGGCGACAATCACCGACAGATTGGCGATAGGCCCCTGATGGCGAATCCGCATGCTCCTGGGCAGAAAAGGCCATCGGGGCCCTATCGGCAACTAATTCGTGATTGGGGGTCGATGCATTCCCCCCCGTAAGCCTATGGTTGCCCTTGACTCGGGCTTCGGTTTTCGGGCCCTTGCTCGGGCCTCAGGCGGCCGTTTGGGACGATTCGGGCACCCAACGAACGCTCTCGGCGAGTCGCCGCCGCTGGAACGCATCCCGAGGTTAGACTCGAACCATCCCCCCTAACGCACGCCTGCCACCCAGTCCGCGAGACCAGCCTCGTGATACGAACGTTCGCGCAATCTGACTGCTTTCGAAACCAACGTGGACTCATGCACGCGCACGTCCTTCTTCCACTTCGGAGCCATACAGCGCGCCAGCCGGGCGAGTGCCGAAAAGGATGCGCGCGGCGCAGCAGCGCCCGCGGCCCTCGGGGCGTGGCGCCGGCGGCGGGCCCCGCGCCTCGCGGTTCTTGACCGCCTCGGCAATGTGGGGAGGCTCGCCAGTCGGTCGTCGGTGATGGTCGGTCGTCGGTCGTCGGTCGGCGGGTGGGTCGGTCGTCGGATGGAGGCGGCCGGGGGGGTCTGAACTGAATGGGCCCCGAGGCAATCGGCCAAGATAAAGGGATAGGGCAAATCTGGTCAGAATCGGTCCCCAGACTTCTCCCGGGGTCCATCTGGTGCAATTATTCACTCCAGATCCGATCTTGACGGTCCTGGGGCCCGAATACGGTCCTCGGAATTAGAAAAACCAGAACCTCGAACCTCAAACCTAGCTCCCCCTTCCTGCTTGACATAACCAGTGCTGGGCAACCTCAGGACGGAAGGGGGAGGCTCGCCGGTCGGTCGGTCGCTCGTCTGTCGTCGTCGGTCGGCAAGTCGGTCGGTCGGTCGTCCGCGTCGACCTCCAAGATTCGAAGCCCCAACCAATATCAAAATACGGCTGCGCGTTCCTGGACCGTGTGGGCTGCGTAGTAACGTCGTGATCATCTGGAGGCAGCGTCAGCGCGAATACGACTTTGGCTGCTTCTGGGACGGCGGCTGCTCATCCTCCTCCTGCCACGTATCCTCCTCCAGCAACATCACCTCCTCCTCCTCCTCTTTTACCATGGGAAAGGTCCTTATTTGTATTCACCGTTGGCGGCACCCTGGGGCCCTCTACGGGCCCCAAGGACCATCAACAAATTATGCGATTGAAGTTTCCCACATAAGGATGTTGAGGGCTCAGCGAGAAGTACGGGCCACAACAGTACCAACAAACAAGCAAGGCTGATGGCAGTCGGGTAAAATGGCAGAGGAAGGCGATGAGCGAAAACAGAAAAGAGGAAGACGACGGCTGTTCAGGATGCATTCCCCCCTTTTCGACTCCTGCCTTCCAGTTTGAAAGGGGTTCAGATGGATCGCCCTGTCACACAACTGGTTCACTTGGGAAGGGCTTGCTGATTCTCCGACGGCTTGCATTAATCATTGGGGGGAAGCCTCCCCTGGGTCTGGAGAGGTACCCCGCGAGCGGTCCGAGGGGCCCGAAGACGGTGACCTGATAAATCGTGTGGTGCTTGAATGTCATGCCGCGATCTAGCGTGGCCTCCCTGGAGGGGATGGAGGAGCACGAACCCTGTTAGATCGTATGCTGCGCGAATGCTCTGCCGCGGTCTGGCGGGCCCCCCTTGAGGAATGGGATGGGGAACGACACCCTGGGGCCCTCTTCGGGCCCCAAGGACAATGAAAAAACTGCGCACTATAAAAAACTGTTCCTGGGGAAAGCCCCGGAATCTGGAGGACAGAGATCTGTGCACATGCGCCTACCCAAGGGCCTGATCAAGGTCGGTGCATGCGCATAGTTCTCTTCGCCCGAGGGTCTGGGACCAAGTCCCCTCAGGACCCCTCTCCTTCATGGCCACTACTCGAAAACGCTAGCTCGGAACAGGTCCCTGGATCACTCGGGTGAAGAGCTCCCCAGATCTGCAGCAGGAGGCGCGGTCTGGGGTCCCACCTTCGGAGCTGAACCCACATCGGAGGACACAAACTGTACAAAATTCAGCTCGGGAGCCAGGACGCTCGCGCACCACAAAACTGTACTGCCTCTGTGCCGTCGGGGAGACGGGGTCGACGCACGAGGCGGGCGGCAGTCGGCGCATCCACTTCGACACGCGGCGACGGAGGCCGATGCAGCCATGGGGCCCGCTCGGCGGACTTTGTTGGCCACATGTGAAGGGGCCCCAGGACACACAAATAAATACACACATAAATAAAAAGATTCCCCATATTTTCCCATATTTTCTGGGTTCTTGTCTTCCCCCCCACTTCCCATATTTTCCCATATTTTCTGGGAATCGCCGATTAATTGTGTCTGTGTGTTTTTTCCCCTCCTGATGCACGAGCAGTCTCCCGCTGGGCTGAGGGGAGATCCTCCGAGTAAGGACGGGCGGCTCGAGCTGTCCTTGGGGAGCGCCCCGAGCCGCGAAGGCTGCTGCTTCCATCCCTCAGCTACCCTATTTTCGCTCGCTCGCTGCCAGTCGCACCGATGTCCTTCTTCTCCTTCTGCTCTTCCTCCTCCTCCTCCTTCTCCTCCTTCTACTCATCCTCTCCCTCCTCCTCCTCCGCCTCCTCCTCCTCCTCAACCTCCTCCTCAACCTTCTCCTCCTCGTCCTCCTCCTCTTCCTGGCGCGAGTTCGCAGACAGGAGCTGTGAACGTCAGGACGGCCGCTCGGGCCAGCCCCGGGCGCGCCCCGTGCGGTCCACAAGATTGCCGGGGCGCCCCGTGACGGCGCAAAAGCATCGTCACAGATGGCTAGCACGGAGGCAACAGGCAAAAGCGAAGACGGTCCCACGGCGGCCCCAGACGAGAGCCCAATACCCTCACGTGCTCGACCATGGACCCCTTGCTCCTCATCGCTCCTGGGAAATCTTCGGCGGCGTTCGGACGGTCTTCCTCGGTCTCCAACCATGTTAAGCGTCTTCTGGCGGTCTTTGGCGCGAGAGCTGGATGGCTGCGGTTAACAGATGGTCAATGGCCGAACACATGAAGATCCCACACCACAACCACAAGACGCCTCCAATCGTCCCAAGCTGTCCGAAGAGGGCCCGAGGATCGGAAGAGGCCCTCAAGAGGCAATTGCCGCAATACTGGAGCCGTGCAGTGCTGTAGCACTGACACTGTTTCTTCGCAAGCGCAGCTGTGAGCATGCGCTGTAGCGCGATTAGATGAACGACGCGATCCTAATTCTTTATATAAGCATATATATATGTGTGTAAATAGCTACACAATGCCTACGTCTGAACTATGCATATGAATCCCGCCCCTATCCGGCAACATAGGTCCAACATACGTGTTCCCATATCGAGTGGGGGACAATATTGAGGACGGGCGCGTAATATCAGAACAACGATGGGTGGACCATCAAAACCATTGTCGAGAAGGGGGGTAAATGGCGATCTTGGGTTCAAGACGGCATTGAAGATGGGCTGCGCCGCTCGACGACACGGCGAACAGCACGAGAGACATGATGTGATGGCTCCCGCCGCCTCTTTGATGAGGTCTTGGATCCCAGCCTCTTTCAAGAACCCCTGGAGGAAACCGATCTTCTCGAGCCACACCGCGTGAGTCATCATGGCGACCTGCCGCGAAACTTCCGAATAATGGTAAACTCATTTTCTATAGAATCGCATGTACGTGTGCCCTCTGATCATGCTTTCCGTGTGGAAAGCGTCGGGCAAGCGTGTTCTAGAACGCCAGGCGAAACGCTTAGTCCTCAAGACTTCAGATCATAGTAGCAGGGAGGTGGGCTTTGTGTACTCCCCCTCCACCACCACCCCGCCACGACACAATCCATGCAATCGCCTCCACGTTGCAGAAATGCTGCAACCGCAGCCACCAGACTAGGGACAACGATACATCCCATTCTGGACTCAACCAATAAAGAGGAAGAGGAGGATGAGGAGGAGGAGGAGGAGGAGGAGGGAAGGACAGCAAAGAGAGGATACGGAGCAAACAACTGTGATTGCTAAGGAGAGCCATGAGGGAAGCAGGACGGGGACAAGACGGAACGAACCAAGGCCAAATAAATGCAGCCAGCGCGGGCGATTAGCACCAGGCAGCTGCAGTCGGGCGAACTCATGGCGAAAGGGCTCCCGAACTCCAGAGGCACGCAATCGTGCCTAACCTTTAGACATGTCGCGCCAATCCATCTACTGGCGACTACCGGGCCCGCAAAACAACGCGGCACCTAACGTATCCCGAAGCCGAGGCTGCTCCTGGCCTTCTGAAGCGACCGCGCACCCCGCCAATTCGGTGTGGAGTGACAGCTGCGCGGCCGCTGCGCGGCTGCGTCCAAACCGAGCGCAAATCTACTCAGCCTCACTAGTGCCCACTCACTCTCTCATACCTCATACCCCTCAGAACGAATAGAAATAACAACAACAAATCCGCCGACCCTGTCGGCGTGTGGAAGAGGCTTCTCCGTCTGCTCCCTCTTCGTCGTCGTCGATGCTCCTTTTTCTTTCCCCACAGCGTCGTTGCTTCTACCCCTCTCCCAAGGCCTCATCCTTCTGAGGCGCGCCAGTCCAAGGCGAGATTGAAGAGTGTCGTACTTGAGTCGAAGGGAAGCCCCTTCCCTTTGATCCCTTCCCGGGGAAGGGGGGGGGTCCTGGGGTAGCTCCCGGGGGGGGTCCCGGGTTTATACGCCGCCCTCCTGGGGAATCCCGGAGCCCACAAAGGCCCCAAGACCGGCCAAGAGTGCCCCAAGAGGCCCCCAAGATGATCCAAGAGGGCCCCGAATCGCCGAATGATCTGTCCAAGACGCCTTGACGGCCTCCAGACGGCCCAAGAGGCCTGCGAGACGCCCCCAGAGGCCTCCAGGACCGTTCCCACGAGAGCCCCAAGAGGCACAAATCATGGATTTCCCATGCGTTTTTCAAGGATGTTGGCGTTCTCGCCTCTTCTGCTTCCCCACGCGCCAAGACGGCCCAAGAGGCTCCCAAGATCGCCCCGACACGGCCCAAGAGGTCTCCAAGAGGGTCCCCAAACGGCCCAAAAGTGCCCCAAGACGGCCCAAGACGCCTCCCAGATGCACAAAAGGCCCCCCAAACGGTTCCAAGAGAGTGCCCAGACGGGGGACCCGAACGGACATTTCGAGCCCTCAGCCCCGAGAAGCTCCCAAGAGGCCCCCCAGGAAGCCCAAAGAGGCCCCAAGAGGCTCCTGTGTGTTTTCTTGGGCCTCCCACCCTCCCCCTCGTCGGCAATGCGCTTCTCCCACACTGAACATTCTTCCTGTTGCGTTGTTATTTCTCCCCAATGACAGAACGCTGTCTCCAAGGTCGGCGGCATCGGCCGTAAGGCCTTCGCAATAACGGAACGCCTTGCTGGTCGAGCATGTCGCAAGCATATATATATATATATACACGAATATATATAATGTGTATGCATATAGATGTGTATATATATATATATATGTATACACACATATATATATATACACTAGAACCATTCGCGCGCTTCGCGCGCGCTGAGGTTGGAGCGAAGACTGACCGATTGCGAATGCGAACTCAAACAGGAGAGGAGCATGCGGATCGGCTGGAGTATCATAGTTATCAGCTGCAAGGGTATCCTGGCCTTCCTTGCCCCCTCTCCGCCTCCTCTTCCTCCTCCTGGTCTCCCCGTGATCCTGCTCCTGCCACTGCTTTCCTACTATGTGTTGCTTTATCCTCGGCCTCCTCCTCGTCCCCTCCGCTTTTGACGTTCACGTCCTGCCTGTCCTCTTTCTCGTCCTCCCCCTCCCCCACCTCCTCTTCCTCTTTCTGCAGGTCCCCCTCGTCCTCCGTCCATCTCTCCCATCTGCTCCTGCTCTCCTGCCACCCCCCGTTATCCTCATCCTCGTCCTCTTTTCCGCGTTCTCCTCCTGCCGTGTCTCCCCTCCTCTCCTCCTCCTCCTCCTCCTCCTCCTCCTCCTC